CCTGCAACCACGAGTTGATGGGAGAACCTCTACCATTGGACTCTCAGAGCTTTGTATTGGTGCATCTTCAGGCTCAGCTACACATAGACTTCTCTTTGGGTGACCCATGTCCTTGTAGGGGGTTCTCCATTTCTGGAGAGTTTCCAAATCTAAGCCATTTGACACAATTAAAGTATAACTAAAGACATGGATAGAGCAGAGAGGGGTTAGAGCTCCCGTAAGGTTTTTATTGCTGTCTGTGTCCCTCCCCTTTATGGAGATTCACCCTCTCTATTTGTCCTGATTACCATTATCAAGGAAAGTGAAAGAAAATCCCAAATTTTGGGTTGTCACCAGAACAGGAATAGAGGGGAAATCTTCCAATGGGGACACTAGTTCTGGTGACAACTATGGATTCCCTCACCTTGTAGGGATTGCTATTTTGGATATAAGAGAGGAAGTTAACCTCTCCACACTGACTGACACAGATATGCGACCTCTCGGTGGCTGGGCTTTGACGCTGAATGGCCGAATATTTGCGTATCTTTTGTAAACAAACGTGCTGAGAGTGTGCGCCCTGAGCGCTCCCAGGAAATATGTTGTTGGCGTCCCATGGAAAGCTCACGATCTTTCCTTGCGATTGGGACCTTTCCGATCATGTTACTGCTGTGAGAGCCAATCATGGTGGTCACATGACCCTAAACCAGGGATGGACTGACCATTCGGGCACTTGGGCACTGCCCGAGGGCCCGGGGTCAGCAGGGGGCCCCATGAGATGCCCCTGGTACCTTTCATAGGCTTTTTTGGGTGTGGGTTTGAGTGTATGCAAGGACACAGGGGCCCCATGATCCCCTATTGCCCAGGGGCCCCATGAGTTGTCAGTCCGCCCCTGCCCTAAACCCCATCCCGCCTCCCAGCGTCAGAAACCCTTTAAGGGGCTGGGAAGCGCCGGCATGATGGGGTTAAGGGAAATTTCCCCAATGGGACACAGATGGCAAAAATAAAAACCTCACTGGGATTATAACAGAGGTGGGCAAACTTTTTGACTTGAGGGCCGCAATGGGTTCATATATTGGACCCGGGGGCCGGACCAAGAGTAGATGAATGATGTGTATGTGTCATCCATAGTAAGTATAGTAATATTCCCCCATAGTAAGCATAGTAATTAATCCCCCATATAGTAATTCATCCCCCATATAGTAATTCATCCCCCCTATAGTAATTCATCCCCCCATAGTAATTCATCCCCCCTATAGTAATTCATTCCCCATATTAAGTCCCCCAAGTCCCCCCCCCTGTGTCAATTCACTTACCTTTGCTCCGCGCGTCCTCTCGCCGTGTTCCCACGCCGTTCCGGTGTAGCATGAAAATCTGTCTCCTATGAGGATCTGTCCCCCTCGATGTATCTGCGCATGTGCCAGTTTCAGGCATTAGCAGCCGATCGGCGATCTCCGGCACATGCGCAGATACGTCGAGGGGGACAGATCCTCATAGGAGACAGATTTTTATGCTACACCGATCTTCAGGGCGGACTGTGAGAGGAGCCTAGCTCCCCTCACGTTCGTCACGCTGCCCCGCCTACACACATCCTGACAGCCATCCTGACAGCATCACGCTCCGCGGGCCGGATTAAAAGGTCCGCGGGCCGTAGTTTGCCCATTGCTGGGTTATAACCTTCCCTTACTCTATCCAAAATGAAAAAAAAAAAAAAACATTTTGCCTTTAGTTCTACTTTAACCACTTCAAGTCCGGACACTTTCACCCCCTTCCTGTCCAGGCCAATTGTCAGCTTTCAGCGCTATCACACTTTGAATGACAATTGTGCGGTCATGCAACACTGTACCCATATGAATTGTTTAGTATTTTTTTGAGACAGATACAACTTTATTTTGGTGGTATTTATTCACCAATGGGATTTTTATTTTTTTGCTATATAAATGAAAAAGTCTAAACATTTTGAAAAAAAGTGATTTTCTTTAAAAATTTAATTTTGCAAATAAATAATCTTTCTTCATGAATCTTGGCCAAAATGTATTCAGCTATGTTTAGTAAAAAAAAAAAAAAAAAAAAAAAAAAACAAATTAGTTTCTAACCAAAAATTATAATTTTTTCAAAAAACATTTTTACATTTTTATTTTATTTTTTTATATTATTTGTTTTTTTTGTTTTGTTTTGTTTTTTTTTACATACTGTCACCCTAGCAGTACAGTGTCACTGGACAGGGAAGTGGGAGGACGTTTATAAACAGCCACCCGCTCCTGCATTGCTCCCATCCAACCGTTTATATACATGGGCCGGACGGGAAGTGGTTGATGAATAGGGTAAAGCTCTGCTCACTTCAAACATTCATTTCCCTGTGCATGATTGGCATTGAAAGTGAAAGTAAATCCCAAATGTCGTGTTGTCACCATAACAGGAAAAGTGGGAAAATCTTCCAAGGGGGACATTAGTACTGGTGACCCTGGTGACAACTTCCCAAGTTGACTTCAATACAGGAAGTGAGAGGAAATCTCCCCAATGGTGCACAGATGGCCATAAAAAGCACTTGACGGGGTTTTAACCCTTCATTGCTCTATCCAAAATTAAAATAAAAAAAAATGCCTTTAGTTTTCCTCCAAGGTATTTTTTTTTTTTGCACTTGTTGAGAATCCATATACAGTGGCTTGCTCCCACCTCCGTGTGAAAATCAAAAAAGGGGCAAATTCAATGGACCACTTGGTCTTTATGTAGCATCAAGCTTCTATGTTTCTCTCAATCTATCTCAATTTGCTAATAGAATGGAAAGGGAATACAATCCCTGTCTGAGATTACTCTCTGTGTCTTCCTGTTCAAGTGACACCTAAAGCAGAACTTTTTTTTTTTCATTCTGGATAGAGCAAGGGAGGGTTATAACCCACATCAGTCTTTTTCTTGCCATCTGTGTCCCATTGGGGAAATTTCCCTTCACTTCCTATGCCAAAGCCAAAATAGGAAGTTGTCACTGAAACTAGTGTCTCCATTGGAAGATTTCTTTGCTTTTTCTGTTCTGGTGACAACCCCAAATTTGTCATTTTCTTTCACTTTCTCAGTGATAAGATCAACAGCATTTGACAGGATAAATCTGTCGCAAACATCGTTAAAAACCTGACAGATGTTCTAATCCCTATCCAAAAGTAAACAAAAAAAAATTAAAATGTCTTGCCTTTCTATACTCTCATTTCTTATCCTGGGTCAGAAAGCTGTAGGGATTCTCCAAAACAGGGTCACCAGCCGTAATAAAAACATATCAGAAGTTCTAACCTTCCCCCACCCTATTTAAAATTACAAAACAATTCTTCTGTCTGGTTTGGGATTTAAGATGTACTTATCCAAAGGAGCCCTTAGTGAAATCTCCCTGGCAATGTTGTACTGGCATGCAGGAGTTAAATCATGTACAATGATGTCACCCAGCTTAACGTGAAGTCAGTTCAAACCACGCAAAAACCATTAAAAGCAATACTAAACAGAGCAAAGAAAGTTGTAAAAACCCCAAGAACTATTGGCATTAACATGATGTACTTGGTCATTCAGCTGTATGTAAGACACAGTAAATGCACAAAAAATGAGACACTGATACTGGTAATTACTACAGGGCAACTTGTACAGGGATGACCTGCATATAGAAACATTCAAGCGTTACTAAACCCCCAACAGTAAAATCGGTCTGTATATGCAGTAAAGCATGCACTGTATATTCACTGTGGAACCTAAGGGGTTAATCCTCCGCATTGTGTAAAAAAGGCTGTTTAATCTCTGATCCTCCCCCTGTATGTAAACACAGTAAATGCACAAAAAAACTTGAGAACGAACTTAATATTGTGAATGGCAGGGTCCAATGGGATGATACTGTGGCTTTTAATGACAAAGGGGGGTGGGATGGGCCGTGATGTTATATGTACTGTAGGGCAACTTGTACAGGGATATGTTGTCCCTGACCAGCAATATAGAAACATTCAAGCGTTACAAGACTAAACCAGGGCAACAGTGTAAAAAAAGTGTCCTGGGAGGTCTGTAATGCTCCAGGGAGACCAGAATATAGTGAATGCTGGTGAATTAATGCAGGGTCAGGGAGCTTGGTATATTCACTGTGGGTCCCGGGGAGACCTGAATGCAGGATCCCATGTCGTTGCGGGAGACAGTTATGAGTGAATTGCACTTTGTGGTGGTTCTATAGGAATGCAAGAGGGTCACATTGGGCAGACAATATAAGGGAGTTATATACCACTGTCCGCATTGTGTAAAAAAGGCTGTTTAATCCTTTCTTCTCTGATCCTCCCCATCTTCTACAGTCCCCAATCCATCTGCGGATTAGAACAGAGCCTTGGGGGAAAACTGCACATGCTCAGTTTGATGTGTATTGCTAGAGAACGTTTTTTTTCTTGGGAGAGTGCATGTGATCAGCACAGGGCCAATCAGAACTGTCCAGACAGAGGGTCAGGGGTTATGCAGCCTCAAAGGACAGTGAGAGGAGAATGAAAAACTCCTAGTACAAGCTTTATCCAGTGCTAGGCCGGACACTGATAGAAGTCACAAGACTGCTGTAACTGCTTATAAAAAAAACGTATTTAGCAGTTTATATTTACTAAAATAATTGCATTTCCATGTTGTTTGTACTGTGGGAGACCAGATATAGTAAATGCAGGGTCCAGGGAGACCAGATATAGTGAATGCTGGGTCCAGGGAGACCAGATATAGTGAATGCAGGGTCCAGGGAGACCAGATATAGTGAATGCAGGGTCTGGGGAGATCAGATATAGTGAATGCAGGGTCCAGGGAGACCAGATATAGTGAATGCAAGGTCCTGGGAGACCAGATATAGTAAATGCAGGTTCCAAGGAGAACAGATATAGTGAATGCAGGGTCCGGGGAGACCAGATATAGTGAATGCAGGGTCCAGGGAGACCAGATATAGTGAATGCTGGGTACTGGGAGACCAGATATAGTGAATACAGGGTCCGGGGAGACCAGATATAGTGAATGCAGGGTCCGGGGAGACCAGATATAGTGATTGCAGGGTCCTGGGAGACCAGATATAGTGAATGCAGGTTCCGGGGAGAACAGATATAGTGAATGCAGGGTCCAGGGAGAACCAGATATAGTGAATGCTGGGTCCTGGGAGACCAGATATAGTGAATGCAGGGTCCGGGGAGACCAGATATAGTGAATGCAGGGTCCGGGGAGACCAGATATAGTGAATGCAGGGTCCGGGGAGACCAGTTATAGTGAATGCAGGGTCCTGGGAGACCAGATATAGTGAATGCAGGGTTCGGGGAGACCAGATATAGTGAATGCAGGGTCCGGGGAGACCAGATATAGTGAATGCAGGGTCCTGGGTTTAGTAACACTTTCAGCCATGGGGTTGAGGGATCATTCGAACACATTCATCCAGGGGCGGACTGACCATTTGAGCACTCGGGCACTGCCCGAGGGCCCGGGGGTCAGTAGGGGGCCCCATTAAATGCCCCTGGTACCTTTTTTATAGGCTTTTTTGGGTGTGCTTTGAGTGTGGGCAAGGACCCAGGGGCCCCATGATCCCCTATTGCCCGGGGGCCCCATAAGTTGTCAATCTGCTCCTGCATTCATCGGCATTATATCCATAGTTTATTACTAAAGACAAGCAGATACTTGTGTCAACAGGCTTTTGTTTGTGCCAAGCACTTTTTCCAGTCCTTGTATAGCAGAGCAGGAGCTGATGTAAGGAAATGATGGTGAAAAGATAGAATACAAAGATAGATTCATTAAGTCCTCATGCACACTGTACGTTTTTACAGCTGCTGTTTTTGGCTTTTGAAGTTTTTTTACTTTTTTTTCTACAGCTCCCCAGCATGTTATCCTATGTGTCCATGCACGTTTAGACTGTAATAAACGTTTTTTGGCAGGGATGTTTTTTGGCTGGAAAAAAAAACCCAAAACTAGTGGGTTTCTAGAGGAGTTTTTTAGTTGTAAAAACGCAGTATAACATGGCAAACCGGTGTTTTTGGACTTTTTTTCACCAAAAAGCGAAATTTGTTTGGGTAAAAAAAGTGAAAAACCGCTAAACGCGTCAAAACTCCACCAAACGCTAATGCAATAAGACGCTAAAAAAAAAAGCTTAAAAACTCTTTTACACAGCTAACGTTACCAGTGTTATTAAAACACCCCATGTGCATGAAGCCTAAAAGTTACATGATCATCCTGTTGGCATTTTCCAATAGCTGTACGTTAGGGCTGTTCCAACACCATAGAAATGCAGTCCAGATTTGTTTCTGAATGTGCGTTTTTGATGCTTTTCGGTGCATTTTTTCGCCCTCTTTTTTTCTTCACCTTAAATAAGGACATGTGCGTTCCGGTGCATTATTGATGTGTTTAGGTGCATTGCGATGCATTTTTGATGTGTTCTAGGGCATTTTTTTCCCTCTCTTTTTTTCTTCACTTTAAATAAGGACATATGCATTCCGGTGCATTTTTGGTGCATTTATACGTGTTCCAGTTTGTTTTGATGTGGTTTTGAGGCAGTCCAGTGCATTTCTTCCCCTTTTTTTTCTTCACCTTAAATAAGAACATCTGCATTCCAGTGCGCTTTTGATGCATTTTACCGTGTTCCAGTACAGTTCCATGCAGAAAAAAAATGCAGCATGTTCTACTTTCTTTTCTGGAACTGGAAAGCACTGGAACTGACCACACTGGTGTGAACTATGTCTTGGAAACCATAAGGCTAGCTTCATACCTATGCAGTTTGCATTTGATATGTTTCTGCAGTGCATTTTGCGGTTTTGCACATGCTTTTTTGATGCGTTTTGCAGGGGGGGAGTTATTTCTTGTTGCTATGCAGATTTAAAATGCAACAAAAACACACTACATGCTTTTCTGCAGAGTTTCCATTGAAGTCTATAGAACCAAAAACACAACTTTTTGCATTCAAAAAAGTCCTCGGCCCTTTCCAAAAAACGCACCGGGTGAAAATGCGGAGATGTGAACATGTCCCATAGTATAAATACTTAAATTAGTGTAGCGCTAATCTATATACCACATATGAAAAAACATACAGAAAACATAAAATAGAATAGAATATAATGACAAATCCAAAGTGATCTGATCCAATCGGGATCTATTTTTGACACACATACACGTGACACAAAAACGTGAAATAGCAAATTGGTCCCATTAGGACCCAGTATGGTGAAAAATCCAAATAACACCAACAAAAAACCCCCAAATCCCTAAATTGGGATCAATACATCAATGTAATGAGAAGTCACGTGACAATGAGGAAGTCACGTGACTAATGTGACGCAACATGTAGGTATGCAGTGACGTAGTTCCGGTACGTGGCGATGTAGTTTCGGCTTGGACGCCATCTTGGCACACCTGAAACCCATGCAGTGGTATACCCATAGCATGTGGTTTGAAAGCTTATGTTATACTGGCAACAAGTGAGTGGGCAAATGGCGTTTTTTGTGCTTTATTGAAGTAATAATCCATAATACTTCTGTTCCTCACTGTGTAAATACAAGGAAGCAATGCTCCAATTTGAATATATAAAGTGAAATATATTTAAAATATAAATAATGACAATCAGGGGCGGACTGACAACTCATGGGGCCCCCGGGCAATAGGGGATCATGGGGCCCCTGTGTCCTTGTCCAAACTCAAAAAAGCCTATGAAAAAGGTACCAGGGGCATCTCATGGGGCCCTCTACTGACCCAGGGCCCTCGGGCAGTGCCCGAGTTTCCAAATGGTTAGTCCGCCCCTGATGACAATAAATACACATAAAAAAGTCCAAAAAATAGTGTAAATAGCAAAACGTGATCCAATGGAACAAATTCATGCAGGTGATGAGGTGAATGTGCGTTCACACTAATGGTGAAATCCTCAAATGGCTAAATTGCTCCCCTCACCTCCTTACTGCGACCCACTGGGCCAGCGCGCCCTTAGGATCACACCAGGATCCTTCACAGGCAGTAACTCGTCACTGGATGGTATCCGCAAGCAATCCCATCAATGGTGGCACTTACACATCTCAGGTCCCCTCCAGATACAGGTAGCTGCAATATAGCTCACTCTCTCATAAGGATCATAATAATAGAAAAGAAAGATCCTCCATAGTGTATATATGGATTATTACTTCAATAAAGCACAAAAAAATGCCATTTGCCCACTCACTTGTTGCCAGTATAACATAAGCTTTCAAACCACATGCTATGGGTATACCTCTGCATGGGGTTTCAGGTGTGCCAAGATGGCGTCCAAGCCGGAACTACATCGCCACGTACCGGAACTAAGTCACTGCGTACCTACGCGTTGCGTCACATTAGTCACGTGACTTCCTCAGGGTCACGTGACTTCTCATTACATTGATGTATTGATCCCAATTTAGGTATTTGGGGGTTTTTGTTGGCGATATTTGGATTTTTCACCATACTGGGTCCTAATGGGACAAATTTGCTATTTCACACGTTTTTGTGTCACGTGTATGTGTGTCACAAATAGATCCCAATGATCAGATGACTTTGATAAAATAGATCCATAGCGATTTGCAAAAAAACGCCCATTATGTTTATTATTTCAGAATTTTGTGTTTTATGATGTTTTTTATATGTGGTATTACATTAGCAAAACACTAATTTATTTATACATTTTGCACTTACACCTATAAGGTTTAGGTTTGGGTGTGTTAGCAGCCCTAGGGTGGACTGACAACTATGGGGCCCCCGGGCAATAGGGGATCATTTGTGTCCTTGCCCAAACTGCTATGAAAAAGGTACCAGGGGCAACTCATGGGTGGTCCCCGTAGTCTGACCCCGGGCCCTTGGGCAGTGCCCGAGTTATAATATAAAATCCGCCATGTTATATATATTAATATTCATCATAATCTATTAGAAGCGCAAGGATCATAATAACGTGTCCATAGGATATCATGGTTAAATGGACTGTATTTTTTTTCTTTGCAAAACGCATTGGAAAACACTGTAGGTGTGAACCTAGGGTCAGCCCTATTATACATGCATTTTTAAGCTCAAAAAAGCACAGGACTGCATGTGGTGTGAACTGTCATGTCAATCAAAATATTGTTTTGCTATGTTAAATTTATAATAATATTTTTATAAATATATTATATATAACACTCCACTATTAAAAATGATAAATTTCAGATTATGTGGTGGTTGATTTTTCGGCCATTTCATTCCTTTGCTCCATTTTTTTTTATTGTATCAGGCAAATGTAATTTTGGGTGCAAACATTTCACCAGTTTGCTGCAGTGCATCTGTATTAACCTTGACAAAAGTGAGTTAAACTCTCAATTTTTAAAACTGATTTAATCACTTAGACCCGGTTCACTTCAGGTGCAACTTATACTGCGACTTGACAGATCAAAGTCGTATGACAAGTCATACTCTATTTCAATCGCTATGAAACCATTCAAATTGGTGTGGTTGGAGTCAGAAACTTTGAAAACGTTTCCCGCACTATTTTTGTGCTATTTTCATGTGCACTGACATCTGTTTGACACATATAGTCGCACTGTTCAGCGCCTTTGAAATCTCGCTGAAGTAGAGTGACTTCAAAGCTACAGCCGTGTGAATTGGGGGCTTACTCAATCCTTGTCTTATGTTCCAGTTTAAAGCTTGTGCTGTGACATTGCTCCAGGTTTCCTGTTTCAGGGTTGCTCCTTTCTCTTGGAGCGTTATTGAGCCACTCTTGCAGGGGCTAGAGTTGTGTCTCCCTACACTGTGTGCATCAATAGAAAACACACAACCCCCTGGACTAGGATGACATAGCACTTCCCTGTTACTCCCTCCTGCACCTGCCTTTCTCTTTTCCAAGCTAACAGACAGACTGGAGACTGTACTGGCCTCTATTAGATTTATTCGGGTGTGAATACTGGAAGTTCAGGGAAGAGGCACTGAGAGAGCAAGAGCCAGTAGCATTGTATGTTAAAGTTGCTGGGGTAGGAATTTAAACAGTTTAATGGGGATGTTTATTGTGCTCATTGTTAAACTAAAATAAAAGGTTTAATACTTCTTGGATTTCATCTGTAAGCTAGTTCGTGTGCTTTGTGCATTTCTTGATCTGTGCAGTAATCCAGTGTGAGACTTTACCTCTGTGCAGAAGCTTCCTGTAATAAGGACCATTCACTGCCTGCTCTCTCTGCTTGTGCATAGAGACTGGTCTTATCTCCACCCCCTCCTGTAGTATTCTGCAGGCTGACCTGTAGTGGGTGGGGCTGCTTGCTTCCTCCCACAACTCTTCTGTCTGCACAGGCTGTGTACAGCACAGCGATGATGTCATCCCGACTTTTACAAGGTAGCTCGGGGTTACTGGGTATTGCACTGACATTGGTTACCCCGAGCTAATATCCTTTGGGCTATTATAAAATATACCGCCAGGGAGGTTAATCATTTAGACCCGGAGCCCAGGCTTGTTGCAACTTATCTGCGAAAAACACTAGACAGAGGAAAAGTGGTAAATGCACAAGTCATACTCTATTGGCGCTATTAAACCATTGCCAAATTGGTGTGAGTATTGGAGTCGACAGCAACTTTGAATGATACTATTTCCACGCACAGCTTTTATGGGAGAACAGGTTTGATTTTC